GGGAGTGTCCACCTGGTGGGAGACCTGCATAAATACTGGGCAGGTAGCCCTCATAAAACAGACCACTGCTTGACCCTCAACACGGAGCTCTGTCTCGTCTTTGGGGGGATTTACTGTATGCTGATAGAGACTGATTGCCAGGAGTGTAAGCCGCTTGGGTGCTTTTCCTGTTCGTCTGCTAGCAGCTATTCGTGAGGTTCCAGTTCGGGTGTTTGGAGCATTCCCTTGTATGCAGTTCGGGTGTTTGGAGCATTCCCTTGTATGCAGTTCGAGTGTTTGGAGCATTCACTTGTATGCAGTTCGGGTGTTTGGAGCATTCTCTTGTATGCAGTTCGGGTGTTTGGAGCATTCACTTATTGGCGGTTCGTGTGTTTGGTGTTCTGCAGTAGCTGTGCCTGCATCTCTGGAAAGGGGGCCAATCGCCTAAACGGTTTTTACCCCTTTTGTGCAAAACGGTCCGTTACAGGCCTGGTTCTGTGGTAGCCTTGATCCATATTTAATATAGCAGGTATATATTGTTATAAATAGTATGCTGGGGCTTATGGTTAAATTCTGTATATTGATAGTTGGAAAAAGATTGTATAAAAACAGCCTGATTGGATCAAGATATGCCACAAGGAACAATGGAGCCACATGGTAGCCAGAACTTGTTTGTCCACTAAGGCCTAAGTTCCACCTAGTTTGGACACCCTCACCCTGAATCTGATCTCTTTACCAACCCCCTTGTAACGGACCGTTAAGCATAAAAGGGGTTAAAAAATGTTTAGGCGATATTACCCTTACAGATACACAGGCAGCTACTGCAAGCACCAATCTCCCGAACAGGAAACACACGAATTCCCAAACTCTCGAACTGGAACCATACGAATGCTGTAAACAGCCAAACAGGAAAAACCATACGAAGAGTTTACACTCCTGGCAGTCGCACTGTAACAGCATACAATCCAATTCCCCCCAAGAACGAGACAACACTTTGTTTGAGGGTCAAGCAGAACTGATTTACTGGTGCTACCTGCCTGGCTTTTATGCAGGTCTTCCACCTGGTGGACACTCCCCTAGGGGACCAGATGGAAAACTGGGATACATAGTGGATTTTGACCAATCACAAACTAACACATAAATACTCCCACAATGCATTATAATCCCTCCTCTCAGTCCTGGAGATAATTGGGAAGTAATACAATTATCTAAAAGGACAGAGGCAAAACCCCATTAGCCACATGTTAGTAAAAAGTAGGTATGTGCATGGGAAAATTTTTGGGCATTCCGAAATTCAGAACTTCGGAACTTCAGCAACTTCGGCACTTCACCACTTCAGAACTTCGCCACTTTGGAATTTCGGTAACTTTGGCACTTCGGAACTTCAGCACTTCGACACTTCGGCACTTCGACACTTTGGAACTTAGGAATTTCGGAACTTGTCTTGCAGCCGCTTGGTAGATAACTTCATAATCCCCACAGAGTTATCTACAAAAAGGCTGAAAGACCTAAATTGGTCTTTCAGCCATATTGAGCAGCCTGTTTTTTTTTTTTTTAAAAGGGTCCCCCCTCCTAAGCTGTGGGCCCTAAAGTAAAATAATGGGGCCCTGGGGTGGGGGCCCTAAATTAGTATAAGGGGGGACCTAATGTCCTCCCCTCTGGCCCCCATCCCTGAGCGGTGAGTGGGGGCCCTAAAAACTAATTAGGGGGGACCTAATGTCCTCCCCCCTGGCCCCACCCCTGAACGGTGGGTGGGGGCCCTACATTAGCATGAGGGGGGAACCTAATGTCCTCCCCCCTGGCCCCCACTCCTGAGCAGTAGGTGGGGGCCCTAAATACTAATTGGGGGGGTACCTAATGTCTTCCCCCTGGCCTCCACCTCTGAGCTATGGGTGGGGGCCCTAAATTAGAATGAGGGGGAGGACCTAATGTCCTCCCTCCTGGACCCACCCCTGAGCGGTGGGTGGGGGCCCTAAATGCTAATTGGGGGGGACCTAATGCCCTCCCCCCTGAGCTTTGGGTGGGTGCCCTAAATAAAAAAAATAACCCCCCCTCCCACATAGGGAAAGTACCGAACAGACGGCGTTCGTATGAATTGCAGGAGAAGGGAGGTCGGCGGCTTAGCGGTGCTCGTGCAAATAAGTGTCCATTTTGAGTTCCATAGATTTGGAGCTGAACACTGCTGACCATTTGGGAGTTTAAGATGGCTGCTGCCACGTGTTCGGTTATACAAACAGCGGCCACCCAGCATTCACCAATTAAGCTGCGGTTAACCGCAGCTTCTGGGAGATAAATCCCTGGCACACTCCTTGCCCAGGTGGTCCCTTCATTCGTGCTTTGGTTCGGTAGATTCAATCTACCGAACGCCCAGGCAGAAAGGCACAAACAAGCGAAAAACCAGGCTTCTCCAGTGCTTCGTGACGAGGTTGGTTCCGCCACATCTCTCCCCTTTTCCAAAAAGACTAACAAGGTACCTGACCTTCTGTCGGTCGGTGCCTTGGTTAGTCCAGCAACCCACCCACAACACATTATACCATGTTTATAAATGATCTTGAAGACAGCATTGAAAGACAACTTACATTTTATATGAATGTATGTTACTTGATTGTTGTAAGTGTTGCAAATGCTTACAGCTGAATCCTGGCTATGTTTGTATACTTTTTATTTAAAATTGTATACAGTGTAACATTCTTCTTCTTACACTGGGTAAGTATATTAGTACTTAGGCAAAACTGTGCTTCGGAACTTTGGCAACTTCAGAACTTCGGCACTTCGGAAATTTGGTATTTTCGGAACTTCAGGTCCTCGGTAATTCGGCACTTTGGCAATTAGGCACTTCAGCTATTTGGACATTCGGAAGTACCCGAATGTCCAAATTGCCCGAAATTCGTCAAATACATATTCGGCCCGAAACGAATTGCACATGTCTAGTAAAAAGACATAAGATTACACAGTGTTACAATTACTACAGAAAATATATACATTCAACATATCCCCAGATAGCTTAGATCTGAGCGCACATTATTACCGAATGGCGCTCAGATCACATACATACAGTTCAATCGCCATGGAGCCAAAGTCTTTCACATAGTCTTTCATTGCACGAATGGGCTCCATGGCATAGCTATCTGGGATAACACTAAGTGTCCTTTTTGAGTTCCATAGATTTGGAGCTGAACACTGCTGACCGTTTGGGAGTTTAAGATGGCTGCTGCCATGTGTTCAGTTATACAAACAGCGGCCACCCAGCATTCACCAATTAAGCTGCGGTTAACCGAAGCTTCTGGGAGGTAAATCCCTGGCACACTCCTTGCCCAGGTGGTCCCTTCATTCGTGCTTTGGTTCAGTAGATTCAATCTACCGAACGCCCAGGCAGAAAGGCATGAACAAGCCTTTTTGCAGGGAATGTAAAAGGTTTTTAATGTGGGGCCATAGTCCAAAGGCTGCAGGTGAAAAACCAGGCTTCTCCAGTGCTTCGTGGCGAGGTTGGTTCCGCCACATCTCTACCCTTTTCCAAAAAGACTAACAAGGTACCTGATCTTCTGTCGGTCGGTGCGTTGGTTAGTCCAGCAACCCACCCACAACACATTATACCATGTTTATAAATGATCTTGAAGACAGCATTGAAAGTCATGTTTCAGTGTTTGCAGATGACACAAAACTCTGTAAAATAATACAATGTGAGCAAGATATTACTTTGCTGCAGAGGGATTTAGATAGACTGGGGGACTGGGCACTCAAATGGCGGATGAAATTTAATGTTGAAAAATGCAAAGTTATGCACTTCGGCGTAAAGAATACACAAGCAACGTATACCCTTAATGGAAGTGAATTAGGGATAACAACATACAAAAAGGACTTGGGAATTGTTATAGACAACAAACTATGCAACAATATGCAATGTCAATCAGCAGTGGCCAAAGCCAGTAAAGTATTGTCATGCATGAAAAAGGGTGTTCGGGAGTTTGAGTGTCCGAAAATGGTTCCAGACCCTTGACGACCAAACCCCGCTGGACGCTCATGCATATGAATCGATGGCCACCCAGTGAACCACTTAGAATGTTTGCGTTTTGGCACAGAGTCAGGGAGTTAATTGGCAGTACACGCCTGGTCTGGGTGGTCTCTGGTTCGGCAGTTTGTTCGGTTATACGAATGAGTTAGCAGGGCTATTCGTTTTTCCATTCGTATGTTCAGCATAACAACGGTTACAAATACAGTGGTTATAATGTTCCAAGTCTGTTGGCCAGGCAATAACAGGGGATCTGTTACAGATGGATAGAGAGGGATGGATAGATATTACGCTACTTGGGTGATTTGGATTGGAACTCAACTGCAGCTTGTAAAACTCCCTAATTACAATAGTGAAGAAACGGAGAATCTTTAAAGTATCAATACTGTAGCTTTAAGAAAAGAGAGAATTGCTGGTAACTTGATTCAAATGAAGTTTTAATAAGTGTTAAACTTAAATGAATTGCATTTAGGCAATAATCCAATAAGAAGTGCAAGTAATCAACAACACAAAGTTCATTAATAAGTATTTCCTCAGAGATACATTAAATAACATTCTTTAGGTTAATGAGAATAATCTTCAATAATAACTTTAAGTAAGTAGCTGATAATATTTGCAAAGCAGGAACAGTTCATAGTTAATAAGCATGATGGGAGTTGTCCTCCATATAATTAGTAGCTTGAAGCAGTGAAGATTTAAGTAAGCAAGTATTAGTTCATTATTAAATGAAATGGTAGACAAATAGCTGAAAGATGTACTTAAGGTTAATGTGAGTAGTCCTCCAATAGTTCAGAGATATTGTCCACTTGTAAAGTAAGTGAGTTTCTATTCTCCAGTAATCCTCTATGACATGAAGCAGACTTGTCTTAGCCCAGAAGGCTAGGACAACTTCAGAGCTTGTAGAGCCGGCGTGTCACAGAAGCCGGCGTGCATACTCGGAAGTAGGAACCACATTGCCAGAGCCTGCGGAGAGGTAAGTCTGGCGGAAGTAGCTCCCAGTATCACCAAGCACCCTCTATCTGGCACGATCTCTCTAAATACCGTCAGAGCTGCGTCAGAGGGGGCAGGGTCCGGCTCCGCACAGTGGAGTGCCGAACCCGGAAGTGTTACCGCATGACAAAAGAGAGAGAGGGATGGATGGATGGTGTGACGAAAGCAACTTTGCCACTGTTTTTTTGGAGAGGACTAATGGCACAGCTTCCCTGTGACTATGGCCCCTGTGATAAACCTGGCTAAAATACTTTAAACAGGCTCCGTTCATGTGAGTTATGTACTTTTGTACTCCAGACCGTTAGCCCTGATTCTATGGAACCGACAGTTAGCCCTGATTCTATGGAACTGTTTTGGGCATGGGGCCATGCTTGCGGTCGGTCAAAACCATGACTTCCAGGAAATTCCTGAACCCCTGCTCTGATCTGGGTGATTTTTGGATATGTTGTTCACCCAGATCAGGGCTATCAGGGGATGTATTTTTGGGGATATGTTATGTTTTGGGGTGTGACCAGTGTGTGCCATTAAATGGTCTGTTCCTGTTTGACCCTCAACACGTAGTCGTCTCGTGATTGGAGGAGGAACTGCTATAATCACATTGGGGATTGCTACACTTTCTATACTCCCTTGGGTTCTAATCACTTAGCTCTTTTAAGAGCTGTTCCTGTTACGCACTCCTGGAGGTGAGGTCTCTCCCACACAGTCCTGGATGTCAGAGGTTGATCCAGGGTGGAAGGAAGACGTTGAGATTCAGGTTAAGCTATGGCGGTTGTGGTGTCCGGTGCGGTGCTTACGGTTCTCGGCGTCGGCTAGGAAGCATCCGTTAACGGAGGTACCTAGTTGGGGTGCCAGGTGATCCGTTACATTGGTGGCAAGTGGTGGGATGGCTTTCTAGTGCGAGGAACAGCATCCTGGATACACCGAGAAAGCATGGCGCTCAGCTATACTGAGGCATAGTTTGACGCTATGCGGAAGAGCTGGCTGGCTCTCTTCGGACCCAACCCAGCTGAGAAATACGCGCAGTCCATGTGGAAACTACTGACCGAGGAACTGCAGCACAAAGCATGGGTGGCAAGCGAGTTGGCATGTTTGAAGGGAGCTCAGCGGCAGCGTATCCTTCAGCGAGTGGAGACAAGCGGTCTCCCTCGCCAGCAGCAGTGTGCATCCCAGGGGGCTGAAGGTGTCGTCCTTCCCCTCCAGCAGCAGTTTTCTTTGCATGGAGAGGAGACAACCAGTCTCTCTCTCCAGCGGCAGTGTAAATTGCAAGGAGAGGAGGCAGCCTGCCTCTCTCCCCAGCAGCAGTGTAAATTGCAGGGAGAGGAGGCCACCGGTCTCTCTCCCCAGCGGCAGTGTGAGTTTCAGGGAGAGGAGATAACCGGTCTCTCTCCCCAGTGGCAGTGTGAGTTTCAGGGAGAGGAGATAACCGGTCTCTCTCCCCAGTGGCAATGTAAATTGCAGGGAGAGGAGGCAGCTGGCCTCTCTACTCAGCGGCAGAGTGAGTTTCAGGGAGAGGAGACAACTGGTCTCTCTCCCCAGCGGCAGTGTAAATTGCAGGGAGAGGAGGCAGCAGACCTCTCTCCCCAGCAGCAGCGTATCTTACTGGGAGTGGAGACAAGCAATCTCCCTCCCCAGCAGCAGTATGCATCCCAGGGGGGCAAAGATATCGTCCTTTCCCCCCAGCGGCAGTGTATCCTACAGGGAGAAGAGACAGTCGGTTTCTCTCCCCAGCGGCAGAACAGGTTATTGGGAGTGGAGATGGTCACTCTCACTCTCCGGCGGCAGTACGTGTTTCAGGGAGAGGAGCATATTGCCCGCTCTCCCCAGCGGCAGCTTATTCTACAGGGAGAGGAGACAACCAGTCCCTCTCCCCAGCTACAGAGGAGAAGCACTCCTATCCTCGATGGTGCAGATGGGACTGTGGTCTCTGAATCAGACCTATAGGGATGCTGGACAGCCTGTCCAGAGCCCCAACTAACCTCGAAGGGATACTAAGAGGAGGAGGTAAGCGATGTCTCCCCTCCACAGCCAAGTTCCAGCCAGGCTCTGGGGTTAGTGGATGGGACCCACTGACCCCCTTCCAGCAGAAGAGCTGGCATCAGGGCAGAGCGCTGCTGGCCTCTGCCCTCCCCTTTTCCTTTGCACAGAGCCACCCCAGCAGAAGCGCTGGCAACCGGGCAGAGTGCAGTTAGCCTCTGCCCTCCCTGGTCCTTAATGCAGGAACTACCAACTCCCCCCACTACGCAGCTGTACCGCTGGATATAGGACTGAGACAGACGACAGGAGTCACCAGGATCAGTCATTGCTTTTTGTGGGTGGGCTACTCGACTAACTCTGGCACTGACCAACAGAAGGTCAGGTACCTGGTTAGTCTCCCCCGGAAAGGGAAGATGCGTGACGGAAGCAACTTCGCCACTGGTTTTTGGAGAGGACTAATGGCCAGCCTCTTGCCCTGTGACTATGGCCCCTGTGATAAACCTGGTTAAAATACTTTAAACAGGCTCTGTTCATGTGAGTAATGTACTTTTGTACTCCAGACAGAGAGACCAACCGTTAGCCCTGATTCTATGGAACTGTTTTGGGCATGGGGCCATGCTTGGGGTCGGTCAAAACTATGACTATGGATGGATAGGGATGGATAGATAGGGAGGGATGGCTAGATCGAGAGGGAGGGATGGATGGATAGAGACGGATGGATGGAGGTTAGAGAGTGATGGATGGGTAGAGAATGATGAATGGATGGATAGGGAGGGAGGGATGGATGGATAGAGGGAGGGAGGGATGGATAGGGATGGATAGAGAAAGAGATTGTGTGTATGTTAGCAAGTTTTACTATTTGTGTGTGTTGTATACAAACACTGTATATAGAGAGATCTCTATATATAGTGTTTCTATGCAAACACACAAAGTTTGGACTGAGGAGAGTTGCCGTAGGCGGGGGGCGGGCACATGCGCGGTAGAGCGCTGAGTCCATTCATAAGGCGGCATTCATTCAATGCTGGTCTATGAAGAACGCGATTGGTGCAGCGCGAAGTGGCGCATGCACACCAGATAGCAATGACGCTTCTATAAGAGAAGCATCTGATTGAGCCCTGCTACTTCGTCATCTTGACAAAAAAGGGGGCGCGGCCTGACGGGGAATCTCGGCGCTGGAACGGAGGTAAGTTTATATCATAAAAAAGAATCCAAAATTATGCAGGAAGTTCATATAAAAGCAAGGCTAGGGGACCTGTCTTTCTTGCTTTTATATGTAGACTATAGTGCTCCTTTAACCACTTAAAACCGGAGGGCGTAATATTACGCCCTATTCTAAGCGGCTCTAAACGCCCGCCGTTTTTTTTTTTACTTACCCGGTTATTTATTTATTTACTTATCGTGGTTGGGACGACTCACCTAGGATCCCAGGGAGTCCCCTGCGGCGGATACTGCCTACTCCGCCCCCCCCCGGACTCCTATCTCCAATCTGCTGATGCCGGGTCTTTTGATAGACATCAAAAGACCCGACATCAGCAGATTGGAGATAGGAGTCCGGTACCCCCAGGAAGACTGGAGAATTCTTTGCACATACAATTTGAGAAAAACTACAGATTGATATACAGGGATCCACTATAGCACCACAATGTATATATGAAGAAATATATCCAAGCTTCAAAATAGGACTTACAGCCCTGGAGAATGTGGTAAGATCCACCCATATATTATAGTGTGTACACACTGTGACTGTATATACCCCTTTTTTTGCTTATATTTTTTTCTCATTTTGTATTTTTCCCTTTTTTCATATTTTTTCATTTTTTCCTCTTTTTTCCTTTTTTCTTTATTATCCCTCTTTGTGGATGGGACCCTTGGACTCCAGGATACAGTTGTTGTAGAATTATAGAATTCTTGAAATTATCTAAGCTAATACTTTGGCAGGAATTGATGTGCGTCAGCAGAACAATGAGTTTCTGTTGAATGAAATATTGTAGCAACTGAACCACATGTTGGTCTTAATAAAGTATGTGTCAGCTGAATAATAAAATGTGTATTTACTAAAAGAACCTTGAAACTAACAATACCAACTACTCAAAATGGCTGCCAAAGCACCCCTCCCATCGAGTGAACACCTCGTGCTTGTGTCCACTCCCGTGTCAAGGATGACACCACCTCTTGATGGGAGGGCATCTAACTAACCCCTTAACACCTGAACCAATTAATAATGTTTATTTGTTGTTATCTTGAATTCTTCAGTGATGTAAAAATGCCTTTATAAGGGTCTGCGCACCCATTTTCTGTTAGAAGCCATTAAACGTTTCCGAAGTTCTTTCATTAACCTGAACCCTGTGTCTCGGTGTGAATTTACTTCTGTGTGCACGCAACTTTATTATCTTTAATTTGGACAGGAACAGATAGTCATTCAAACTTATTGGTTTGCAGAAAATAATCTACTACACAGTTATACAGCATTATTTGGATGATTCATAAATCTGTGATCAGGGATCTTTAGGAACATGGAGCTATATTTATAGGTTTACAATGTATTGTTTCCATTAGGATATATTGTTTGATTTCAGTGTGTATATATTATCAACTTATTTATTTTGAGTAAATTTTTTTGCAACTAATGAATTATGTCTATACAATATCATTATGAATTATTAAATTAAGCAATGAACTTTATCTAAAGCAGTTTATTGACAGTTAAAATGTCATGTAGAACTAAACAAATAATTTATTTTCTCCCATTTTTTTTCATATTAAATTATGTTTCATAGCTAAATATTTGATATTAAATGAAAGCCTGTTTCCCCTGAATAAAATGATATATAATAAGGGTGGGTGCATTTAATATGAAATTGGTGAATTACGGTTGGACAGACATGTAGTGCAAATGCCAGGTTTTGTTTATTACGTGTACATTTGGCTCAGTCCTTAAGGGGTTAATTACAATTCACCATTTAGAGAATATATGCCACAGTAATATTACAGTGTGAATTTGGTTTATATAGTATACAGTGTAGTGTAAGTTACATTGGCAGATGCTCATAATAATTTTTTCAAGAATTTTGTGTGGCGTTGTAAACTTGTATAAAGAAAAAAAGAGGTGTTATTAAATGGATTAATACAAGGAACAATCTTTATGGGCAACAAGACGTCTCTCTGTATTTAAAACTGTAGCCCAAGAATTGTACCTGTGTTTTCCATGCTAAATTTGGTTATCCGTAAACGAAGGAAAAATTAGCTCCGTCAAGAAATTAGTTGATCTGTACCCATTCTTTATGCAACGCAACAAGTTTGCGCTCAATATACACAAACGTAATATGTAAAGGTGAACTGGAATCCAAAATTAGGTTAGGTGGTCTTTTTTCAACTAATCTGTAAGAGGCACGTTCATGTATTCCTTATTTAAATCCTTGGCTTCAAAGTGATATAGCGTGTATGCGAGAAGGCGGGACTGGGAAGTAGGACATTAAAATGCGACCATCAGGAAAACGGATATCCTGCGACGTTTACTTCTCAGTGATGCGTAAATACATGCCCTTTTTTGCACATATTTTTATTATTAGACGCCAAATTTAACGTTACCAATGTTAAAGGCACTATGGCCATGTTAACATGTATTCCCTGCCTCTACTAAACTGCAATCGGTGTATTGTTCCTACTCGTCGGTACTTTAAACCTTCGCACATTATAATAATCATCCCAGACAGAACACTTTTTTTTTTTTTTACCACGTGTATATTTAAAGCAAACCATAATAGCGGTATATTCCTCGCTTCTGAACCAAACATGAAGTTCCGGTGTAAGATTGTGGATGTTAGCTGCTTGAACCACTTCAGCCGTGCGTATCCTTTTATATGTTTCACGTGTTTGCTTTAATCGACTTTTTAGAGAATTTTGATTTGCAGTTCCCGTCTCGATTGATATCCAAATCCTTTTTACTTCCAGATGTACTGTGTAGTAGCTATATTAATGAGAACCTTTATTACTATGTCATAGGGGAAATTTTATCATGCTGACTGTTATTACAGTTTTTCCCCCTATCGTTTTGAGCATTTTCACTGTTAACACTTTTTTAATGAATTCCAATTGTTAACGTGTACATGAGAGAAATGTTAAATGATTTAGTCTAACCAACATAACTGCAAAGAGCATGGAGCTTCTCAAGATGGCTATCAATCAGTGAGCCACAATTACTTATATGGTCTGTGCTGTCATGTAATGCAGGCATTTAATGCCCTATGACCACATATACTGCCATCTATTAAAGGGACACTAGACACCCAGACTACTTAAGCTAATTGAAATAGTCTGGGTGCTGTGACCTTTTTGCACCCAGTGCTGCAATGTAAAACATTGCAGTTCCAGAGAACTGCAATGTTTATATTGCAGCTCTAAGTCTGCCGTCTGTTGCCACTGGGGGTGCTTCTGTATTCCAAATGGATATTTGATCCATTATCTGACTCTGGACATTCTCACGGAACTCCAGCGCCAGAATTTTCCCATAGGAAAGCATTGAATAATGCTTTCCTATGGGGAGGTCTAATGCGTGCGAAGCCTCTGCTGCGCCTACGCATTAGGTCTGCGCCGGCTGACAACGGGGGAGGAGCATGGGCGGAGCCTGACTCAGCACAAAGGGACATTGGCGCTGGATTTAGGTAAGTGCAGGAGAGGTGTCGTGAGGGAGGGGGGCACTGTAGGGACGTATAATGCCAGGGAAACGGGTTTTGTTTTCCTGGCACTATAGGATCCCTTTAAAAGTACCAACAGGTGTATATTACTGGTGGTACCAAATAGCTCCAGGTATCAATAGATAACTGAGGGTCACTTCTGTAAGCTGGGGCCACAATGGGGCTAGTGAATGCTGCACATAGCCATTTAATCCATTTATTAAATACAACCGTTGAACAATTGTCTTTAGCTGCTGTAATTCTGAATCCTTTTGGGTTGTCCACTATAGGAACCCCTTACCACAGGAAAGCATAGATTTGAGGAGAGTCTCTGGAATCTGTTTAACCCCTTAACGCCGTTACGGAGTTTTATGCCGTCCCGCATTAAATGGCCTTTAAAGGCGTTGCGGCAGCTCCAGGATACTTACCTCCACTGCGATCCGCTTCAGGTGGACTGCCTTACAGCCCAGGCAGCCCTCCCCAGGCAAATCAGGCCCTCAGGGGCATTGCTGCCTGTGGATCTGCCTGCAGGGGGACTACTTGGGCTCTCATTCAGTCCTCCTGCTGGTGGTAAATGTTTTAAAAAAATAAAAATATATATTACACACATGTAGATATGTGTGTATATGTAAAAAAAAGCAGAAAAAAAATTTGTATCTTGTAATACACTTTTTTTTTTTTTTTTGGGACCAAAATAATTTTTTAATGACCAGCTTTCGGGAGAACCTCCCTTTTTGAGTTGTGATACAGGGGTTAAAGCGACATGAGTGCAGATAAGACACAGGTCTGATAGAAAGTAGACAACATTCTTGCAGAGGGTCGTAAATATCTTTCTGAAGATCAGAGTGAGTGGGGAGAGGGAGAAAAACAAAACAAGCAAGCAGTGGAGAAGATGGTACACTTTAAACATATACACACACACAAATATATATGTATATACAAATACATGCACATGAACTCATACACAAATATAAATGCACAGTCACATATATAAGTATACATGCATAAGAGTATGGGAAAGAATAGGTCTACACATAGTACTTCATATATTGATAGAATAAACATATTGGAATGCTTTTTAAAGTGTTGATACATGTTATGGTTGCCTCAGGCTTGCTGAGGGTTGGACCGCTTGGATGTCCTTGTCCCCGATCCTGGAGAGTGGTAGAAAGCCCCAATTCAGCAACTAGCGATCTTCTTGTGAGTGTAAAGTATCCCTGGAGCTCTGAACAGAGCTAGTGATCAGCATTTCACTACAACACGAGTCGAGGCTGCGCGTTGAGGGTAAGAAGTCTGGTTTATTGAATGCATATATCTCTATCTCTCTTCTTACCCTCAACTCGCAGCCTCGACTCGTGTTGTAGTGAAATGCTGATCATAGCTCTGCTCAGAGCTCCAGGGATACTTAACACTCGCAAGAAGATCGCTAGAGATATATATATATATATATATATATATATATATTTTTTTTTTTTTTTCAGTTTCAGGCCAGAGGTACACCCCTCTGGACCTCATGGAACACAGTGTTACAAGGGACAATAACCAATAGGAACAAAGTGCATCTTTTCAAACCCTCCTCTCTATCCTGGAGATAATTAGCTTAAATGGTTACAGTAACTTAATTATCTCCAGGTACAGGCAATACTCTGGTTTTGAATTTACACTAAAAAACACATAAAAATCCACAACTCCTACAATATATTCTTTAACTTATACATTCAACATATCCCCAGACAGCTTGGATCTGGCACAAGATATCCAAAAAGCGCTCAGATCTCACGAATAGGATGGGAACGCCATGGGGATAAAGTTTGTCTCCAGGGTTGTTCAGCAAAAGTCAACCCAGTAATTAGCTCCCCAATGTTCAGGCATAAGGTTGGTCTAGTCTCCAGAGTCTCAAATTACCGAACGGCACAGTGTTAGTTGATTTAGACACGAATGGACAGGGTTTTGGCGATCCCAGCGGGGTTTGTGAACAATAGCGTCAGAGAATAGTACCAGGAGATCGACCAAGTCCCGCTGGGCGTTCGGCAGTTAAACATAGCCGCCGCCACGTGTTTGTGCATACGAACGACGACCACCAAGCCGATTGTCAATTAAGCTGCGGTTAACCACAAACCGCAGCTTCTGGGTGGCTAATAAGGGGCACACTCCTCATGCAGGGAGGTCAATCATTCGGTAGTTTATTCGGTGATTCATTGGTAAACGGGGTTAACAAGTGTAAAACCGCAGTTTCTGGGCGGTTAATAGGCGGCACACGCCATAGGACGGGTGGTCGGTCATTAGTGCATATGAATGATCTGGGGAAGGTTTTCGTGGGGTTTATTATAGTAACATAAACAGCAACAATGTAGCAAAAGTGGCAGACTGAGGGTACTTTGCAACAATACATATAACAGAACAGTAAGATAATGTGGGGGAGTTTTCATGTAAAGTGTTGTTAGTGGGTCAGGAAACCCAAATCCATATTTTAGTCTGTGCATATTCGTTTTGCCATTTAATTGCTCGGTGGTTTCCCCAATGTAGCATCCTAGGTGGCATTTGGTGCATTGAATCATGTATACCACATTGCTTGATGTGCAGAAGTATAATCCTTTAATGCTGTAGATTTTATTGTTGTGTGTGGCTGTGTTGTCTGTGCATATGTGCTGACACAGTTTACAGCGAGGTTTTTTTGCATTGACTGGTCATGTTTTCTTTATTCTTCCCATCAGTGGGTAGCTTCCTGTTGAATAATATTTTGTTGGAGGTTTGGTTGTCTGAATGCCAAAATTGGTGTTTCAGAGAGAATTTTTCAGAGTCTCAACTTCTGTTAACATTGGTTGTAACATGATTTTCCGTATTTCTTCAAGAGCTGGGTTGGAGGTGACCACAAGTGGCACCTATTTTTTTTTTTTTTTCCTCTCTCTGTACTGTAGCAGGGGTTTTTACAGCCAAATTCATTTGTTTGGTAATAGTCTTTGGTTTGTAGCCTGTCTCATAGATTGGGAGAGTACATTTAGATGGGAATTACAGTCATTCCATTTTTAGTTTGGATGGAATGTGTTAAGAGTCATGGAACTGTCTGGTTTTTCTTAGCTTTCAGTACAAATTATGAAGATATT